TGTCTGTAAGTTTTCAACACTTTATCTTCACAGTTGGTTCAACATGGCCACAGCACTGCTCTGACTTTACTGGACAGAAACGGAAAGGAAAATAAATGTTTCTTCATAGTACTTTGACCTTAAAATACCACAAACTATCCATCTTCTTGTGTTATTTTCAAATTGAATCACTCAGCACATCAGGTCAAAAAGTCAGAGGCCACTGTTTCTTCTCCTTGCTATCAGGATAGAAAGCTTTGATAGGAACAAGTGTTGGCTGATTTTTTTAAAAATGTAATTTTTGGCTTTGGTAAGCAGCAAGACTTTAATTTCTGTCTCAGGAATTTAAAATGTTTCATTGTTTTTTATGGAAAGTACTTAACCACTTTCCATCTGTGTTAATCAGATTGCTTCTGGTTTCTAGACAGAGAAAAACTTGTGTTTGCAATCCATTTTTACTAAAAACCTGATTTGTTGATCCTATTATTTTCTCACTGATATGAGTAGGCAAAACTCCCTTCCCTGCCAGGAGGGGCTTATCTAGGTCCATTTCTTTCATAACAGGCTGACAAGAATCTTGGGTTTTGGTCCAAGAACAGCATCTTCTGGGGTCGCTTCAAGTTCTGCCTAGTTGAAAAATTTAGCAATAAATGTCTTGTCAGTGTTTCCAGATAATGAAGAGTTATTGTGTCTGAGTGACCGCTGTGGAGCTGTCAGCACTGGTAGTGTGTAGCGCAGGCTGGTGCTGAAGGTGAAGCCCTGGGTCTGCAGCTTTGTCCCTGTGCTCATCGGCTGGTAAAGGGAGGTGACACCACGTAGAGTGATGCTGAGGAGAGGTCCTGCACTTTTGTGCCATGGTAAAAGTTAGGAGATGCTTTCTTCTTCTTCTTCTTTCCTGTTACCTTCCCTTTTCCTTTTTTTCTTTTTTTTTTTTTTTTCCCCTGTTTCATTTAATATTTGGATGAAACTAGTGTTTAATAAAAATTCACTGTAAAAGAGCAAGAACTACTCTGGAGTAGTCAATGGGCAGTTGTTGGCATTTGCTGAGAACAAGTGAATTTCAGGTTATGCAAGCTGTAAATTTAATCAGGTTAAGTAAAGACTGACTGTGAGTCTCCTCAGCTTTCTCTTGGTCTCCTATTCTTGTGTCACTCCCACTCTCTCTGCTTCTTATCTCAGAAAACATTCCCAATAATAGTTCAGTCGAAACAGCACTCTCCTGTGGAGTTTTAGTTCAGATGAAGATGATTTTGCTCATAAATTCCCTGAAACTCCAGAAATGTGAAGTGATTTTACCTGAAGGGCAATTTATTATAGACATGTTGCCCATTAATTGAGATAATCTCCAACAATGATGATGAACAGAGATGATCAGGGATTTTGTACTTTTAAAATGCCATTCTGACAAGAAAGGCAATTTGGGATCCACTTACATCTCAGTAATGAAAATTGGGTAAGGTAATAAGAGATTTCATTTTGTGAATGAATTGACAATGCAAATACCAGGATTTTTAATTTAGGTTTAAGTGGAGTAATGGCTACTCATTCTGATGCATCATTAGTCATACTGCCTTCTAATGAGGGATTCGCTTTCTTTTCCTGGTTAGCTCTAACACTGATAGCAAAGCCCAGTGAATGCGTAAATGTTTACGGAGGTCTGATGAATACGTGTCACTGCAGCATTTTAATTTAAAACAGGAAGAAGAAGCGTTATGGTGAAGAAATACGCATTTGCTTTTCATGCAAGGAAAATAAATAGTGCAGGGCTGTGATTAGTAGGCTGTTGGAAAAAGTAACTAGATCTGAAACAAATTCTAGAAACTATAGAAGGAAAATTGTGTTGAGGGGAATGCTGGTGAAAGGGACTGGCTTTATGGCTGACAGTGGCAGGAAAAAGAGGTCCTTTGGCCATGTCCAACATGGATGTGTTACAAATAACAGCAGATGAAGATTTTTCTTGCACTACCAAACCCACCCCGTGCCCAAACACCTCATTCCTCTTCTGGGTAGATGTTTGTTCAGCATTTTTATTTCTTAGATGTCCTTTTTTTTCCCCTTCCCCCCCCCCCCCGCTTTTTTTTTTTGGTCTTTAATTGAGAGCTTGTTTTGATATTCGGTGAACTCAGTGGGAATCTTTCCATCAAATTGAATGCATTAGGTCAGATTCATAATCAGCAGTCACTGAAACAACCTAACAATAGTTTTGTCACACACAAGTGCACTGTCTTAAATGGGATTTGCTTAAGAAAAGCAATAGAACTAATCCATTATAAACACTTGTTATAGTCTTTAATTGAGAGCTTGTTTTGATATTCGGTGAACTCAGTGGGAATCTTTCCATCAAATTGAATGCATTAGGTCAGATTCATAATCAGCAGTCACTGAAACAACCTAACAATAGTTTTGTCACACACAAGTGCACTGTCTTAAATGGGATTTGCTTAAGAAAAGCAATAGAACTAATCCATTATAAACACTTGTTATAGCAGAGTTTTGACTGTATCTGTGTATTTACCAAAACAATTTCAACTGATTTAAGCCAAATTGAAATTAATGCAGACTCTTGCTCCAGGCAGGAGCATAGGGCAGTTAAATTAAATCAATTTAAACTAGTGTGTTTTTAGTTCCAGCAGGATGATGTTGTGCGTTGGTTAGACTTAGGTCCGGTTGCCTTACTTAGTTACTGCCTTATGCTAGGTGAGGTGTTTTGACTTTCTGTGGGGACAAGCCATACTGTGATGAAACACATGCTGCGTCTCTTGCCTACAGCAAGAGAACAAGTTTCTAGGTGGCAAACAAATGTCCACCAAATCTCTTTCTTGTGCCTGTTTCTACACTCCTGATGCCTCCTAGCATGTGATGTCTTGCAAGCCTCAGTGTGATTTGCAAAAGCCTAAGCAATCCAGGGCCTCTAAACACCGGTGAGGCAGTACCTGTTCTTCTGGAGCAGAGCCTTTGGGGAGATCGGTGACCTTTAGGGTCTCCAGCACAAAGCTACAACCTCACGTTTTCACTCTGCTGTTTTATTGTGCTTTTCCCTTGCTTGTGTAAGTGCCCATTCATTACAAATGTCAGGGAAGGGTGCCTGAGCTGACTAACTAAAGGAGTGGGTAGCAGAGTGTCAGGACCTCTCCAGGAGGTTGCCATCCCCCCGTGCACATACAATAGCGAATAAGAGGTTGCACAAAGCAGGGCAGTGGAATCGTAACCAGCCAGGGTAGAATCCTTTCAGGATAACCTCCAAGAGACCCCTACATATCATATGCCTGGGAAAATGCCAGTAAATGAAGAGTCTTCTCATCATCTTCCTTTGTGACCCACTAACCTTCCTTTGAAAGCATATACCTCCCAGGCACGGTGGGGGAAACTCAGTTTTGCAGCAGTCACATTTTAGCTTCATCAAGAGTTACCTCCTTCAGATCTTTCTCTTGACTTTGTGTTGTGAAATGTGAAAGAAATATAGGCCACGGTCGTCTTTGACGCCACCTTGTAAATTTAAGGGAATCCCAGACGTCCAATATGCTGAAGTCATTCTGTAACACTTGGCTCTATGTGAGGCATAATAGTCCCCAGCAGACTGGGTGATACAGGACTAACATCCTTTTCTCCTGATGGGTTTCTTGAAAACTGCCCTTTTCTTCACAGCTTGTAAAAGGAAAGTTGATAGGGTGAGTGCACCAGAATGGTTGTGAAAGCACTGGGTCATGCTTGATGTTTTAACCTAAGAAAACAACATTTTGAAATAAAACCAAAGCTGAACGTGTCCTAAAACAGGCCATGGAGCTACAAGAAAATGTTTTTGACACTGATAGAAAATGATCCAGTCTAAATGCACCAATTCTTCTCTGCTAAATGGGGGCAAGAAATAGAAATTAACTTTCTCTATTTCCAGAGAGCTATGCACTGCCAGAGTCCCCAAAGTCTTGGTTATGGTCAGGCCTTTGGGGTTACTGAGGGGTTTTTAAATACAATTGAGCTGATTTATGAGATTTCCTGTTAAATTTTATTGCACCAGTGGCTTTTCTTTGGTTCTTTTGAAGTAGAAAACATCATTTCTGCAGCAAATGCAAGTCAAAAGTCTTAATGGAGCATAAAAATCTGAAAGGTCATGATTTTATAGCTTTGAAATAGAGGACAGTGCACTGCTTTATACTCTTAAAAACATGAAAAGTTAATGAGGATGTTTATCGGTAATGAAAAGACATAAGCATCTCCCGGACCTTTGATTTTGGCTACTTGTATATTGGCTTTTTAAGGGTGTACTTTTATAAATAAGAAACTCTTCTCGTTTCTAGGACTGGCCTGCCTCAGAACCACAGAGAGAACTGACAACATGAGGCAGAACCTTTGTCCCAGGGAGATTATTCAGTACTCTTAACACTCAGTGCTGACTCTTCCTTTGAGCACAGACTATTGATTGCATTTGTCTGGTTTCTAGGGTCACACAGACTACCTCTGTTTATTTGGCTTTGTTTAAGACCTGTGGGGGCATGCAAATTTTAACCAAATAAGAAACTGTTCCTGTGACACATTTTGCAGGCTTAGGTGGATCGCAGTAGCAGTGTTTACAAACTCTCCTTGCTTTCCACATGCAGATGATTGGAACAGTGTATGGTGTTTTAAAATTAAAAATCTAGAAAAATGTCTCCTGGTGGATTTCTTCTGTGGATCTTGATTTAATCTGAAGTCTTAAAAATATTTTTTTCCATTTGCATGTTAACAAATGTTTTTAATGAAACGTGGGAACTTAGGCAAAATGAAAAAGCCTTCTTGCTGTATCAGCTAATGGAGTAGACCTTGAATGCTTCGCCTCCAACTGCTTGCAAATGTTTTCTCCAGGTGTGGGCATGGAAAAAGCATTTAATCACACTGTTCACTGTCCCTGCTGTGGCAGGGAGAAGTAACGGGAGCAGGTCACAGGACAGAAGTGGTCATGGAAAAAAACAATACAGCAGGAGTGGCACAGCTTTCCTTCTTCTGGTTAATACAGACTACCCTGTTTTCTGTTGTTGTCTTTGCAGCAGTCCAGCACGGGGGACCTGAGGACTCTGAGGAAAGGGTTGTCTCCGTACCACTCTGAGTCACAGCTCTCATCACTGCCGCAGTACCAAGATGCCCTGCAAAACGTAAGAAACGTTTCCTTACCTATACACACAGAGCCATGGGCTTCCCCGAAAGTGGGCATGGCTGGAGGGGAGCTCTCCCAGCTGAGAATTCACCCTGAAACCAGTGGTACAGATGTGCAGCTGAAACCCGCAGCTGTGGGGAGGATGGAGAGCCCCTGGAAGTACTGGTCTTTACCTGAGTTTGGACCATCAGCTTCCCAGCATAGGTTTTTCAGTTAGCTGGTGGTCACTGTTGTGCATCTTTTGAAGCAAGGGTGAGTCTTGCTATACCTGCCGCTCCTTCTTTGTCAGTGCTCTGTATGCCTGCTGTCAAAAAGCTGGTCATGGATGAAACAAAAGATGGTTTGCCAAGTGTCTGGCAGTGCGTGGTCAGGGTTGCTTTAGCAATAAAGTTCTTATGACTTTAGTTACAGGTTTTTCTGTATCATGAATGAGGTTTATTTTTCCTGAGATTTGCCTGCATTGCTTCTTCTCAAACAACAGAGGAATTTTGATTAAAGCCTCTTGCAAAAGTTGGATACTGTGCTGCTGTGCCAGGGCTCCTCCTGCACAGGCATGGCTGAGGAGGCTGACCCCTGCCAGGCAGTTGTCTTCCAGGTGTTTTCGTGACTGCCTGAGACACTGCATTTGCGTGGTGACACTGTTTTCCAGGCTGCAGGAAAAGTATGGATGCAGTCAGGGAGCCCTGCTGTGAGTCTCGTGAACGTGAGCAGCAGCCTGATGGCAGCACAGACAGGGGACCTCCCTGCTGCCCTGTGTCTTCTGGTCCATGCCCAGGGCACTGGTCAGCAGAGCTGCAGGTGCTGTAGGACCAGTTGTACATTGGCTGCCTGCTTGGGTAAAAGCCGTTCTGTGGATTTAGTGTGCCTCTTAGAGCTATAAAACATTGGGTAGTAACAATTTAAGATAGTTTGCATAAATAAGACTCTCTGAAAGCAGAGCCCCTTTCTACCCCATAGAGGGAGACCCTCCAGCCAAAAAAAATGTACAGAGCCACACAGATGATATGGAAGACTGTGACTGAATATACCATTTTCTAACTTTGTGCCCCATATATGAAGTCAGGAGACTTTATAGAGAGGGCAGAGAGAGATTAGCCTCGAGGTGTTTGGCTGTGCCAGTGCCTTACAGTTTTGGGGGTGTTGCTTCACTTCCCTTGTGCTTGGGCTTCTGATCCCCAGCTTGGTTCCAGACACAATTTTATGTTCATCTTGTGGGTCAGGCTGGGGTATAGCCAGCAGCTTCCGTGAGGAGCTGCCACAGGAGCCGTGCCAGGGCTGGGAGCTGGCAGGGGACTTCTCTACCTGAGCACTGGCCCCCGCAGCTCACCAGGGCTGTGTGAGGGCTGGTGGCAGATGGTGCTGCCTGCTGGAGCCCTTCCTGGCCACTTGTCCCTGCTTTCCCTCCTTCCTCAAGGAAGAGGTGGCACCTGGCATTTATGGAGAGGCCCAGGTGCTGTGTGACACTCACCTTCATCTGTTACCCTGGCTGTGTTCTGCCTTATTTGTGGGAAGATGATAGATTAAAAACAAAACCAGCTCTGGATCCCAATCCTCATCATCTGGGATACTTACATAGCCATTTGTCTACCTATTCCTACCAAAATCCCTTTGGTTTGTGGCTTGACATGATGTATTGTTTTTGTGAGGAAGAATAGCAATCACAAATTCATGCAGGTGCCTGTGAATGTCCCAGGCATGTCCCAGAAAGTGGACACTAAGATATACCTGACTTTCTCTGCAGCCTTGTTTTTTTTGACAGCAGGCATGAGTTTGTGAGAAATCGTTCCTCTTTGTGCTTGCACAGGCTTCACACATGTGAGTGATGGTCGATTGGTGTTGGCTCCAGAGCTGTCACATCCATTCAGGGTCTCATCATCGTCACTGCCAGCGCAGCTATTTGGGGAAGTTCCTCAGCGCATCCCTCACTGTCACACAGTTTGCACTTAGGCACCACTCCAGCTCCCTCAGGCCCTGATGTACCTCAGTTAATGAAACAATTTGGTGTTTCCAGTGGATCCTGGGTCATGGACACCCGTGCACGCTCAAGATGCATAATCAAGACAGTTGCAATCTGTGCACTGTTTAATCAGTGGCGCATTGTTCAGATGGAGGATTATAGATTTGCTCTGTGGGTCTGCAGCAGTTACCAAATATCCAGGAAAAGCAGTCCCAGTGGATCAGTTCTGACCTACAGGCCCCTGGCCATTGCGAGGGAAGGTGTGACATGCATGTTAGCTTGAACTGAGAGCAGGCTGGTCGAACTCACCAGCCCTGGGAACTGCAAACCAGAGTCATCTTGTGGTGTAGCAAAGGCTCCCTGTGTCGTTTGGAGGATGAAGGTGGTTCCCCTGGGCTTGGACTCTGGGTGAGGCATAAGAGGAGGTGACAACAAGTAACTCCCTGTGGGATCAGTGATTCCCCTGGGATGAGAAGGGCAGGCTCCAGGGCAGGCTGGTTGTGCTGACTTCATCTTTCCCATAGCTGGCAGCCTCCAGACCTGCTCAGCCTTGAGTGAGATGATGCCCAGGTGTGGCAGCTGATCTTGAGGTACCTGTAAGCAGTGCACTGCTGAGGACCCAGTAGCCTGGTGTTGAGGAGGACCTGGTGTCTGGGTGGTGTGGTTTAACCCCAGCTGGCAACTGAGCACCACCCAGCCGCTCACCCAGTCTCCCCTGGTGGGATGGGGAAGAGTGTCAGAAGAGTAAAAGTGACAAAACACGTGGGCTGAGATAGAGAGACAGTTTAATAGGTAAAGCAAAAGATGTGCATGCAAGCAGAGCAAACCAAGGAATTCATTCACCACTTCCCATCAGCTGGCAGGTGTTCATCATCCCCAGGAAAGCAGGGCTCCATCATGTGTGATGGTTACTTGGCAAAACAAATGCCATCATTCTGAATGTGTCCCCTTCCTCCTTCTTCTCCCAACTTTATATGCTGAGCTTGACACCATATGGTATGGAACATCCCTTTGGTCAGTAGAGGTCAGCTGTCCTGGCTGTGTCCCTTCCCAACTCCTTGTGTACACCCAGCCACCCGCTGGTGGGGTGGTGTGAGGAGCAGACCTTGACTCTGCGTAAGCACTGCTCAGCAATAACCAAAACATCCCTGTGCTATCAACACTATTTCCAGCACAAATCCAAAATGCAGCCCCATACTAGGTACTGTGAAGAAAATGAACTCTACCCCAGCCAAAACCAGGACACTGGGTGTCAGCAATGGAAATGGTCCCAGAGCATCCTTGGAGGGCTTGTGCTTCCAGCTGCTATTTGCCAGGCTGTTGCTATGTCTTCAGTACTTTGTTTCTCCATGGTAGCTAGAACAGACATTTTTCATCCGTGTTGCATTCATGTCTTACCTGCAGTGCGTGTGTTCCCGTCGTGGCCGCTCCATGTGGATGCGGCAACACTTGGGATGAGTTACTGCACTCAGATTAGCAGCCCTTTGATTTACCGCAGGAAGCTGTTGGAAGAGCAACAGGTCAGATGTGCGTGTGGCTTGAGAGCATAGAGAGGGTGATGCTCAGTCTGTCCTGGAGACTCTTCCAGATCAGAGCTGTTCTGGAGTTTAACAGTACCAGATGCGAGTTACCGACTTCCCATTTCATTTGTTGCCGTTGTCCAAGGAGTCTGGATTGCCCGATCATATGGTCTCACCTCTGGTTAGTGAGATGGAAATTACATCTCAGTAACACTGAGGGGCTTAGGAGAGTAATGCTGTGTTTGGGTGATTGCCACTGGAGGAGAAGAGGAGCCCTGTTGGTGCAGTGCTGTGAATCAGGACTGGGAGCCATGCCTGCCACCGTGGAGGGACTCTTCTCTGCAAACATATGTTCCTTCTTTTCACCTCACCATGCCTCAATATTTCCCTTGAAGGAACTGGGTGGGAAATCACTCATTCCAGAGCATGGTTTTCAGGCAGTTCTTTACTATTAAGCTAAATACCACTAAGTGCTCCACGATCCTCCAAGGGTAGACACTAAAAGGTGATGTTTAATTTTTGGAACAGTGTAGTGTTGCTGGAGGGTTCGCTTATTTCTTTTGTGGGCTTTCTGCAGCTCCATTTGAATGATGACTGGAAGATGGAGTTGTCCACACTCAGTGTCAGCTCTCACATCTCTCTTTCTCTGGAAAGACACCTTATGCAGTACTTAACTGTTGGTCACGTCTAATTATTGCTGAGTTACGATTCTGACATGGGGAGAATGTATGGTGAAAAAGGAAACTCCCCGTCCACAGCAGTAAGGTCTTATTTTGTTACTAATAGTCATGTTTCTGCAATTCATTTTCTAAGAGGTGGAATCTCGGCTGCTGAATTCTGGGGCATGAGATCCCTGTAGCACAGTTAAGGATGAATGTGGTGGCTGAGGCATGTTCCAGAGCGTGCATCTCTGTCTCTTCTGTGCTCCCTTTGGCCTCTTGGGTGCTCTGGCTGCCTACCTGGATACACGGTCCCTGCAGACCTCCACGTTCCTGCCTGCTGCCCCAGGCATGTCTCAGTGCCCAGGCATGGGCAGGTGGCCTGAGGGCTGCTCATGTTCCTATGGTTGAAGGTACCTTCACCTTGAAAAGCTTATAAGCCAGCTGCCTGAGGGAGCCATTTATGCACATTGGCATAAAACACCATTCAACAAACCTGTTACTACAGTCAGAGCTAGCCTGTCTGGCTTAGACTTTAAATTTACTACTAGCTTTTGTGTGATTTATAATAGGAATCCTGCCTTTGGTGGGAGTAACTGTAGAGGTTTGTAATGGAAACATTAAGATTAGTGTGGATGGAGTGTGAATGGAAAAGTATGTATGAAAACGCCAGGAGGAATACTACTAGAGCAAGGGATGCAGGGATGGCCTGTGCTGATGACCAAAGACACAACTGACAGCAAACAAATGGATAAACATGGCAGGATGTGTGGTTTGTGTCAGGACCGAGAGGTCTGTGCTGTGATAAGGCCACAGCACAGATGGCTCATCACTAGAAGACCTATTCCCTGATAACAGGAGG